CCGATGAAGATCAATGATGATAGCCTTCGGTATGGAGTACAACTCAATGTAGGGAAGACCAAAATCCTCACAAGTGGACCAACAGGTAACATCATGAGAAATGGAGTAAAGGTTGAAGTTTTCAAGGCTTTTTACCTTACTCAGATGCACAATCAATGTTCCTGGAAGCAGCAGTCAAGAGATCAAAAGACGTGTTGCATGAGGTAAATCTTCTGCGCAAGATCTCTTTAGAGTATGGAAGAGCAAGGGCGTTACTTTGAGGACTAAGAACGCGCCTGACCCAAGCCATGGTATTCCCCCTTGCCTCTTACGCATGTGAAAGTTGGACATTGAATAAGGAAGACCATAGAAGAATTGGTACATTTGAATTAGGGTGCCAGAGAAGAATATTGAAAGTACAACAGACTGCTAAAAGGACAAACAGATCTGTATTGGAAGAAATAAGGCCAGAGTGCGCCTTAAAGGCAAGGAGGACAAGACTTCATCTTACACACTTTGGACATGTTGTCAGGAGAGACCAGTCCCTAGAGAAGGACATCCTGTTTGGTAAGGTGGAGGGCAAGGAAAAGCGAGGACGGCCTCAACGCGATGGGTCGACGGTGGCTGCAGCAATAGGCTGAGGCATAGGAACAGTTGTGAAGCTGACACAGGACTGTGCAGTGGTTCATTCTATTGGTCACTATGGGTTGGAGCCCACTCAATGGCACCTAACAACAACTACAACAACAAGACATGGAACGCAAGCAAGGTGTAAACCCTCGCTGCATGAAGGGCTTATGTAATGCCTGTTGCCTCTGTTATCATTAATGTTCGTAGCCCTGCGGTTCACACTCTTGTGGCGCTTTCATGCTTGTGAGCACTGCTGGAAAGGCAGTTCCCCCGCTTGCACTGGAAACTTGTCCTGGATCACTTGCACCTGTGTCGCTTACTGACGGCCCAGGAGAGCCATTTCCAAAGGCAGACAACGAAGTGTATGACACTTTTTGCACACTGCTCTCACTAGTTTAGGAACACAGAGTTCCTTACAAATAGCCTGTACTAGCCAGATGCGGCTCTGATCTCTGAGAACCACTCTTGGATGTTCCTTTCGGCTTGGGAAGCTCCCACAGATCGACTACCTAAACTCATGGTATTTGAGTGCTTAACGAATGCACAAGGCCCGGTTATGCCCAAGTGACTTATCTTTGGCAAACTTGGATGCTTAGGTTCCCTTTATCTTATTACTTAGCAGACAACTACACCCCAAAATAAGGATGAAAATCCATATGTGTTGTTGTTCTTAGGTACCAGGAAATCGATTCCAACTCTTAGCGACTTTATGTACAACGGAAGGAAACACTGCCTAGACCTGCACCATCCTTACACATCCGTATACAGATAGTGTGGTTCATTTAGTAGAAGCAACTTATTAGCTTCATTTCATCAATATTGATTGAGCAGCCACTGTGTCATAGACTTAGTGTTCAATGTGTGCTAGCATATGTCCCTTGAGTAGTAATATAGGTAATATACCCTCTGGTAATAAGTAGGTAATATACCCTCTGGTAATATATGGTAGAGGTGATCAGAAAAGCACACAAACAGAACTAGCTAGAACATGATGGTAATTCGAGAGCGGG